GCAGCTGATCAGTTAATTAAAGCTACTTGACTGTGCAGTTTGCTGTGGAGACACCTCTGCCTGGGGGGTGGGGGCGCATTTGCAAAAATAAAACCAAAAAGGAATCTGGAGAGGTCACCATTCAGCAGCCATGCCGTTTACATCTTCTTTCCAATCCATAAAGCAGCTAACTTCTAATAAATCTCTTGGACCCAGCCGTACCCTCTCTGGGAACCTGGCATTATTAATATTTATCAGCTGTTTAATTAGCCTTTCTGCCAAGAGAAGCCATAACATCTGTATGTCAAAAACATCCCCGGGCGCCTCCCCCCAGCAGAGGCAGGTTGAAATTGTGCTGAGTGTCGGCCTGTGCTCCTAAAGCTCTACCTTTATAATATGGGGGTGCCGAGGGCTTTCAGCACCATCTCTGAGAGCCCAGCTCAGTGGATATTGATCTTTCATATCCCTGTGCTCCTGGGAGGGAGAAATTCTCCCTTGGGCAGGGGCCCAGCCACACCACTGGAGTCCTGTGGTCACAGGCCTTGTGCTGGGGTGAATCTCATACAGACCAAACACTAGCAGCTCCCATTGCTCTTCAGCACCCGCTTCTCTTTGACCCTCCAAGGGGCTTTGACCTAATCTGCAGGGGTAGCAAACGGGGGAAATGAGAGGGAGCGGATTTTGCAGGTGGCGAGGGGTTAAATATCAGTAGCTGTGTTTGTGAGGGATTGGAGTGAAACCCGCTGAGTGTTTTGAAGAGAAGGGCAAAGGAGACAGGCCAACCAAAAGAGAGCTGCTGATCAGACAGTGCAGGTGAGGGTTATCTTTTGGAGTGGGGCTGAAGCAACGAGACACCATTGCGACGCCCAGGAGTGTTACAAGGAGAGAAGCTGAGGTCTGCAATGGGCTCATGCCTGACACCACAGGTATGTGTATAAGGAGCAGACTGGTGGTGGGTGTCTCCCTGTATGCCGGGGTGGGTGGAGGGAATGGTTGACTAGCTGGAAGTACTGTACCTAGGTCACTAAGGAGCTGGGTTTCGGTGTGGTGTGTGTGAGTAGGGTGGGGAGTGTGTGTGCGTTTCCAAGTGGTGTCTGTGTTGGCAGGTGCCACTCTCTGCCTGGATAGTTTTTCAGGGCGTGTTGCATATTACCTGCAGAGGTGAGGGGCAGGTTGCCTGTGGACATACATCAGGGTGTCGGTGCATGAATGGGTTTGTATAGTGTCCGTTTCTAGTGTCCATCGGTGGGTGTGTGAATGTGCCTGTGTGCATAGGGGCACAGTGTATGTTTTGTCAGGCCCAGGCCCCTCCCCTGTGAAGGAGGTGAGAGCCGGGACAGTGTTGTGCATATGCGTTTGTCAGGGTGAAAGGGATCCAGTGTGTGTGAACACACATTGCGCATGGTGCAGTGTGTCTTGGGGGGGCGTGCATGTAGGCTGACCAGATAGCAAGTGTAAAAAATCGGGATGGGAGGTGGGGGGTAATAGGTGCCTATGTGAGAAAAAGACCCCAAAATCGGGAATGTCCCTATAAAATCGGGACATCTGGTCACCCTACGTGCATGTGACTGTCTGGAAGAGCGGGGGACACGGGCTGTTGAAGGACAGTGGTGCTGTGACATCCTCAGTTGAAATGTCAGCAGCTCCCACTGGTTGCTGGTGGGCTCAGCTGAAGGACCCAGCATGGGGCTCGACTGGCTGCTTTGTTCCACAGCCTGTTGGACCAGTAGGAGCGAGCGGGGCTTTGCACTGGGGCTAGGCTGCTTTCTGAACTGCACCGTGCTTGACTGTTTTAACTGGATGGTGAATTAAGAGGGAGAGGCATCTGCACGCTGATGCTGAGCGGGGAGCCTTCGTCTCTCACCACTGCTGACCCAATTACTACTGCTCTCTCCTTGAGTGGTGGTGGGGAGTGCGTGCAGCTGTCATGGGGCCTGCATGACCGTACCAGCCAATTGGAGTAATTACTGCCCCCGCCCTGCCTTTCTCTCTGCTCTCTTTTACCAAGTGCTTGCCAGCCATGTGCCTTCCGTGGCACATGGCCCCTCTTGTCGGCTGGCCTCGTTCATGTGGGGCTTTCTTCTCTGCCTTCCCTTCGCATAGGGTTACCATACGTCAGGATTTTCCCGAACATGTCTGGCTTTTTGGTCATCAAATCCCCGTCCGGGGGGAAATTCCAAAAAGCTGGACATGTCTGGGAAAATAGGGAGGGGTCGCTGGGGCTTGGATCCGCGCTGGGCCGGAGCTGGAGTCGCTGGGGCCGGCGGTGCTTGGCCGCCGGCCAGCGCTCGGCCGCTGGCCGGCGCCACTCGGCCGGGGCCGGACGGGCCGGTGCCCCGGGGCCCGATCCGAGCTGGAGTCGCCGGGGCTGGAGCCGCTCGGCCGGTGCCCCAGGGCCGGGGCCGGTGCCCGTGCCCCGGGGCCCGAGCTGAGCTGGAGCCGCCGGGGCCGGGCTGGGGCGGGGCAGGCCGGGGGCGGAGCGTTCAGGGGAGGGAGCGGAGTTGGGGCGGGGACTTTGGGAAAGGGGCAGAGTTGGGGCGGGGCCCCTTGGAGTGTCCTCTTTTTGTTGTTTTCAAAAAATGGTAACCCTACCTTCGCAGCCCAGGACCATGTGGAGGGGCCATGGCACAGGAGAGGCCCTGTCCTGTGGGGGAGAGGGGAGGGGTGTATGGCAGTTGAATCAGTGGACGACCCATTTGCAGAAGGGAAATGGTCCCCTCACAGCTTTGAACGGCACCTGGGTTAGCCCAGTATTGGGAGTTGGGAGACTTGGGTTCTAGTCCCACCTCTGCCATTGACCCTTCTCCTTTCTGGGTGTCTTTATCCCGATTATAACATGACCCCACTTTCAGTCGCTCTCAATTACTCCACCTTAGGAGTGCCCCAGAGGCTTCTGCACCGGTTCCCACCATGCTTCACAGAAGTGCTGCTCCAATTGGCTCTTTGAGGTATGGGGTGACCGTGATTTATGGCATCCAAGAAACTGGGAAAGAAAGCAGCTGGCAACAACCCCTCCTGCTGCTGTCCACAACCCCCTAGAGCTTTGTGAATGCCCTGCCCCCCGAGCCTGAACAGCCAGGGTCCTGCGTGAACACCTCAACCCTGGGCTCCTCTATCCTACTGCGGGTCACTATGCTGGGAAGCTGCCCATCCCATCGACTCCTTCACGGGATCTAGAGCCAGCTTTCCCTGGCTGCCAACCAGGTTGTCAGCTAACTGTGCTTGTGTCAGGAAGGCAAGTGAGCTGTAGCCATAGGATGAAGGGCTGAGTGGATAGCAGAGCCAATGAGCCACATCCTCAGCTGGTGTAGCTCAGCAGAGCTCTGATTTACACCAGGTGAGGAAGTGGCCCTGAGGGTGTCTGCTAGCCCGGTGCACTCTGCGCTTTGCACAGATGAAGGCTGGCAGGAGACTGAAAAGTCTTTGATCTGAAGAAGGCGCTTTGCCATGCACTGTGGGGGCCAGGGAGGGGTTGAGCCACACAACATGGCATGGGCCAAGCACAGGGTTCTCACAAAGCAGTGCCATCTATTCCCTACCCCCCGGGCTACCTGCCCAGAGATCCAGCGCTCCCGGGGGTTGGGTGGAGCGAAATGGGGTGGAGGGGAAGAGGCTGATTCAGTGCTCCAAAGGCCATCTCCTGTTTTCCTTTTTACCTTCCGGGAGCCAAACCCAGGTTTGGATTTTGCAGCTGGGGCCCATCCCACAAAGAATATTGACAAAGGCCCTGTCGCTTCCCATGTTTATTTGCTGGGGGTTAGAAAGACACCTCTACAGTATGTACAGCCCCGTCTCCCTCACGCAGACCCCAGCGCTCCATGTGCGAAGGAGAGCCCCTTACACTGGACTGGTGAGCACCAGAAGCAGACGCACACAGACGGCCATGCACCCATACCGTGAATACAACGTGCTTTAGGGCACACCGGTTATGGTGACTGTCTTGGCCATGGCATAGTCAATAAACCAGCATAGATTCTGGTCTGTCTGCACTCTATGGTCCCACCTGCGATGCAGAACACAAGTACTGATGAAGGTCGCACAGTGAGCGCAGGGGAAACGAGCAGCTCACACACAAGGGCTGTGCTATGATGCTCCCAGCACCTAGACCTGGGCCAGTGTCAAGTGGTGACCTCGTGGCAGGTATTGCCAGGTGAACACCACGCATATGGTGGGCAGCACGGGCTGGGTGGAGAGTAGGAGTTGGGCTGCACAGGGCGGGTTGGGGAGTAGGTGGGCAGGTATCATGGGTCAAAAGATGAGCACATGGCCAAGGTCCTGGGTGCAAAGGGACAAGCACGTGGCTGGTACAATGAAGTCAGGGGGGCAGTTGCAAATGGAGTGGTACAAAACAGTGCCCCAAGCAGAGGCTGAGGGACGGGCCAGCCCTGTCTGTTCCCCCAGGGTGTGTTTGAAAGCATGGCTAGAGCAGGCCAAGGCAGCTTTGCCTGCTGCGTTTCTGGGCTCTCCCCTCGCCTGTGATAGACGGAACAGAGGGTTTGGAATCTGCCTCCAGACAGTGTCGTGAGCTAGAGATGGGAGGGGATGTTTGCACCCCAAGAAGCCACATAAATGAGGCAAAAAGCAGGACTGCCTAGACAGGACTACACTAGAGCAAGACAGTGGTGGGTGTTAGTGGGTGAGGCAGGAATTAAGGAGCAGAGAGCACTGACAGCCAACCCAGACACAATCAAAGGAGATGGGTTGGTGTTGTCGGTCTCTGCTCCATTCGCAAAGACGGGGTCCAATGAGCTTTAGACCAGCAGGGCTGTGGCTCCAGTGTGAGCTGGGGTCTGGTCCCTCCCATGAGCAGGCCCATTCTCGGACGCTGTCTGGGGGGCTCTGATGCAGTGCTCGGGAGAACAATAGGCCTGTGGCATGCCAGGAGAAATTTAAGTCCAGGGGTAGGAGTGGGATTCTCTGGGGCTGTCTCTCGTGTCCTCTCCATCATCCAGTGAGAAGGGGAGGCCTCTCCCTGCCACTGGCAACACAGCATGGCTGCCCGAGAGGATGGAGCCTCGCTGCTAGGAGAGGTGAAGGGGCCTGGAGGAGCCTGACTGGACCATGAGGGATCCTGCATCCAGCTCGCACCCGTCCTGCTGCCCGTTGTGCTCCTCGTTCATCTGGGATACCTCAGTGGAGCCTGCCTCAAAGCCTGGCACCGTCTGGGCAGCGTGCACCACATGGACCTTGTTGCGGGCCTTCTTCCTCAGGAGGCAGCTGAAGACCTTCTTGAAGCCCTTGCGGAAGTGCTTGGAGACCAGGGCATAGACGATGGGGTTGAGGCAGGAGTTGGCGTAGGCCATGCAGTGGGAGAGCAGCCGGAAGGCGTAGGTGGCCTGGTTGAAGGGGAAGTCCCCATAGAGGTAGCGCAGGATCACCACGTGGTAGGGCAGCCAGCACAGGCAGAAGAGGATGGTCACTATGATGATCATCTTGGTCACCTTCCGCTTGGCCTTCTTGGACTCTGACATATCCTCCAGGGGGTCCACGGCCGTCCACAGGTACTTGATGGTCCTGGTGTAGGAGAGACTGACGATCAGCACGGGGATCACGTAGCCAAAGGCAAACGTGCTGGTGTCTATGATCTTGCGCTTCCACTCCTCCCAGCCAGGCATGCAGATGTAGCTGGACTCCCACTCGATCAGGTCGTAGTAGCTCAGGTACGGACCAGCGAAGACCACAGAGAGGCCCCAGATCACAGCCAAGGCAGCAACCGCGTTGCAGGGGGTCCGCAGTTCCCGGGAGCGCAGTGGGTAGCGGATGGCCAGGTACCTGGAGATGAAAACAAACAGGCAGTGGTTAGGGGTGCAGAGGACTCTGCCTTGGACATGCAGTCGCTGTGGGATTCCTGCTGTCCTGTGGCAGTGGTTCCCTCTCTCCCCTTCTGCTTACATCCAGCCTCAGCAAATGCATGCGACATCACTAAGGAAGGGGCCTCGCCCTGCCAAACCCTCTTAACCCATTCAGAATACTGCCCTGTGTAGGGCAGCATTTTGATTCCTAGTGGGATTCTTCCTGGACAGCCGTATTTTTCTAACCCAGGTCCCTTCCCCTCCCTCCAGACAAAGAGGGCTCAGCCTAGTTCCCTGAGCACTGGCCGGAGAGGTGAGGCTGGGGAGGCCACTCAGGAGTCACACACGATGCTCCCTATCCCCAGGGATGGAGCATGTTCCCTCCATGGCTCTCCCACGCCCAGCTGCAGCAGGGGAGGGCAGGACCAAACACAGGTCCCGGCCTCAAACCCCTCACGTGGCAGCCCATGCTGACACGGGTCCCTCCTCTGCTGAAAGGAAGAGATTGTGCCTCTGCCTGGCTGAGAATGAGGCTGGGATCTGATCAAACTCAGGCCCAGCCCTGAACCTTGGTTTGAGGCCTTCGGGTCCTTGCGTTCTTGGACAAGCCAAGGATGGGATGGGTGTAGGGATAGGGGTTGCAATTGACAGCCCTGGGAGGTCAATGGGAGTCGTTCCATTGATTTCCATGGGGTTTGGATCTGGCCCAGAGGTAGGCAGATCTGCTCACTGGGATCTTGACTACGCTGGCCCAGAGGAGGGGCGCTGGAGGTGCCAGAAACGACGACTCTTCCTCTCGGTGTTGGGCTGGTTTCTGGGGCCGATAAATGTCCTAGCGGCAGTTTGCTGCCTGTCTGTTCTCCCCTGGCGCTGCGCCAGTGCACCTCCAGGTTAAACCACACAATGCAAAGTGCTGCTCCTGGCTCTCCAGCAAGCGCCGGGAGGCTGAGAGAGCAGAGCGGCGTGCAGGAGGAGCGCTGTGCTCGGCTCCTGCACACTCATCAGCAGGGAGAGCAGCCAAGTGGGAACATCTGTCTGCAGCACCCCAGGAGAGCTGAAACATGTTCAGTATGACAGTCCCTGCAGGGTCCCTGGTGCGGGTGACAGCTAGGAAGGGAGACAGCTGGGATCCTAGCTGACTTGTGGACAGGAGACTGCGGGGAAGGGGGAGTAGCTGTCAATGCAGGCACAAGCCCTTCACTGCTCCAGTCTAAGCCTGTCCTCGTCAAACGGGCCGATGCTCATTGCCACGTGCTGTGCCTTAGGAGTTCATCCCTGGCAACAGCGCACAGCCGACAGCCAAGGACAATAACTCCAGCACAAAGGGTCACTCCAAGCAGTAGCGTAGCTTGTCTCTGCTGTACCGTCCATCTGGAAAGCTCCAAAAGCATTTCCCAGACAAGGTACAAGGATGGCTTCATCCTGCGCTGAAGTGCAGCCACCTCTAGGGTGGAACACAGCAACATTCTTCAGTAGCAACACTATGTTGCAGGAGAAGTGGAGAATAACCTGAAACCAGGTGGGCAGAACGCTGTGCCAAGGGGCACGCTGGGGAGCTGTAGGGATTTTAAGAGACTGTCCCTGGTTCTGAGCTAGCTGAAGAGATGCTGTCTCCCACTGCAACTCCTTGAACTCTTACTTTCCATCTGCAGTGAAGTACCATGAGCTATATCCCCTCATGTTAGGCTTCAATCTGATCTCATAAACTACCTGGGGTCAGCTTTGAGCCAGTACTTGGGTGGGAGACCTCCAAAGATAGCTCACAGTAAGTGCTGTGGGAAGTGGTCCTAGTGATTTATCAGCCACTATCAGATATAAAACTAAGCACCTGGCTACATTTGATTATCAAAGTCCTATCAGCCTCTTTCTCAGGAGTGCTGGGGCTGAGTCCCTGAGGTCCTGGTCCAGTTCTGGGCTATCTTAATGCCCCTTGCCTTTTCAGTTGGGGATGCTATTCTTCTCTTCTTACCCCCAGACAGCACCTAGCACAATGGGATCCTGGTCCCTAACTAGGTTCCTGGCACTACAGTAATACCAATAACTGCTGAGGACATTCCTATAGAAGGGGTGCTATTTCAGTGGTGAGTGAAGTGGACATAAGAATGGCCATACTGGGTCAGACCAATGGTCCATCTAGCCCAGTATCCTGTCTTCTGACAGTGGCCAGTGCCAGATGCTTCTGAGGGAATGAACTGAACAGTGCAGTTCATCAAATGATCCATCCCCTATCACCAAGTCCCCTAAGTAGTTAGAGGCTTAGGGACATCCAGAGCATGGGGTTGTGTCCCTGACCAACTTGGCTAACAGCCATTGATGGACCTCTTCTCCAGGAATTTACCTAATTCTTTTTTGAACCCAATTATACTTGTGGTCTTCACAACCTCCCCGGCAACGAGTTCCACAGGTTGATTGTGTGTTGTGTGAAGAAGTACTTCCTTATGTTTGTTGTAAACCTGACTATTAATATCATTGGGTGACCCCTGGTTCTCCTACATATCCCCCCTTGGTTGTCTCTTTTCTAAGATGAACAGTCCCAGTCTTTTTAATCTTGTCTCAGATGGAAACTGTTCCATCCCCCAATCATTTTGTTGCCCTTCTTTGTACTTTTTCCAATTCTAATAAATCTTTTTTGAGATGGGGCGACCAGAACTGCACAGAGTATTCAAGGTGTGGGCATACCGTGGATTTATACAGTGGCATTATGATATTTTCTGTCTTCTCTATCCCTTTCCTAAACTTCCTAACATTCCAGTAGCTTTTTCGACTGTCACTGCACATTGAGTGGATGTTTTCAGAGAACTATCCACAGTGACTCCAAGATCTCTTTCTAGAGTGGTAACAGCTAATTTAGATCATTTTGTATGTATAGTTGGGATTATGTTTTCCAATGTGCATTGCTTTGAATTTCATCTGCCATTTAGTTACTCCGTCATCCAGTTTTGTGAGATCCCTTTGTAACTCTTTCCAGTCAGCTTTGGACTTAATTATCATGAGTAATTTTGTATCATCTGCAAACTTGTTCACCTCACTGTTCACCCGTTTTTCCAGATAGTTTATGAATATGTTGAACAGCATAGGATCAAATACAGATCCTTGGGAGACCCCATTATTTACCTCTCTCCACTGTGAAAACTGACCCTTTGTTTCCTATCTTTTAACCAGCTACTGATCCATGAGAGGACTTTCCCTCTTATCCCATGACTGCCTACTTCGTTTAAGAGCCTTTGGTCCTTGTCAAAGGCTTTCTGAAAGTCCAAGTACACTATATCCACTGAATCACCCTTGTCCACCTGTTGGTTGACCTCCTCAAAGAATTCCAATTGATTAGTAATAGTGCTTCCTATATAACTTGGGAAATACTTTGGGATCATTCAGAAAGAGAGGTGATATGTAAGGTAAGATAGGAATAGTCATTAATTACCTGTATATAGAATATAGCTTTTATAGAGATCAGTAGATCTCCGAGTGCTTTACAAAGAAGTTCAGTATCATTATTTCCATTTTACAGATAGGGAAACTGAGGCATGGACTAGATCGATCGATCTGTAAGTATTTATACAGCACCAATCGATGTATTGTCTGCAGGACTCTTGACGCCTTTCTATCTTCAGTCCCTGATATCGATGTGGGTTTCTTAATCACAGGGGTAATTTGCCATCCTTACCCCCACCAGCAGTGAATGTAACAAACAGGAAAAATGAGGTGATCCAACCAAGCCAAAGCATGATCCATGGGAAGAACATGTACTTCCCCCACTGTTTTGCACATAGGGGTGAAGTCGGGGCAGTGCAGCCAAAACTGGGCAGATGTCCTCTCGCAAACCAATTGACCTGATGCTGATCTGCTACACAGGTGTACACGAGGAATAGCTCAGCTGCAGTCAATAGAGCTATGTTGCTGAATGTCCACATGAAATCAGAATCAGGGCCCAATAGGCAGCATGAACCAAAACTTGCTTTCAGAATTCTGCATTGAACGCACACACTGAATTGCATTTAAGGCAGAATGGGCCAGATCCCTAGCGAGTGTAAATCAGCATCACTCTGCTAATGTCAGGGGAGCTTAGCTGCCTTACTCCAGCTAAGGATCTGGACTAATATTTTTGTGATATGACACTGGGTCCCCTATTAGACAGAGCTAGGGCCAGATTTGGCCCTGTTATAAGCAGGCACACCTGCACTGGAGACAACTGAGTCATTGCTGATTACACCCGAACTGAGCTTGGTCCCCAGTTTGAATGCACTGTGTATGCAATGTATTATTGGCACAAATCTTGGGGCTTCTAAACTGATCATTCGTCTGTGTTTCAGTGATGGTCTGACTGCGGTGGAAAGGCAAGTCCTCTATTAACCCACAGAGCTAGAATCTATCTATCTTAGGCACTTTATCTGGCCCCTAATACCATCTTAGCTGAATACCTCGCACACTTTCATGTATTTATCCAGTGAAGGAGGGCACTGCTATTATCCCATTGCACAGATGGGGAAACTGAGGCACAGAGCGGCTAAGTGATTTGCCCAAGGTCACACATGGAGTCTGTGGCAGAGCAAGGAATTGAATCCAGTCCTCCATATTCCAGGCTTGTGTCCTAATCACTAACCATCTTTCCTCTAGAAAAACACAGGCAGTGGCAGCACAAGCTTCCCTACCCAGCTAACCTGGCAGGGCCACTTCTAGGGTAGAGAGTGCAGTGGCTCCGTCTCCTTGGCCTGTAAGAACGTGGGTTGTGAAGGAGACACCTAACAGGAACTGTACTAAGTCCCTCCAACCCTTTTGGCACAGACCACATAGGGACAGCGTTAGGTCATTACTGGTGCAAGCTGGGTTTGACCTTTTCCCCATTCTCTGAGCCTCCCAGCTCCTGAGGCCAGGCACAGGGCATCTGGTAGGGCCCAGCAGTCCCAAGGCAGGTTTCGGCCTTGCTTACCTGTCCACTGAGACGGCAGCCAGCGTGAAACTGCTGGCATACATGGTGAGGTAGATGAAGAAGTGGACGGCCTTGCACATGAAGGAGCCGAAGACCCAGCCTTCCAGCGAGTAGATGGTGGCCTGGAAGGGGACGCAGAAGATGATGAAGAAGAAGTCGGCCAGGCTGAGGTTGAGGATGAAGAGGTTGGTAGTGTTGTGGCCCATCTGGCCGTTGCGCAGCAGCACCGCCAGCACCAAGCTGTTGCCCACCGTGCCCAGGAGGAAGATGAGGGAGAAGACCACTGGGATGATGACACTGGCGGGGCTGAACTGAGAGCTGTCCGAGGCGTTCCAGTACCCAGCCAGGCTGGCAAAGTCCTCGTGCTCTGTCATCCTGCCTTCAGGGGAGATGCAGGACACCTGGAGGGTGCAGAAGGAGAGAAAGGGAAGAGATCTTAATGAGGAAGAGAGTAGCCAGAGCCCTTGACTCTGTCTGACTGGACTGGGAGGATGAGACCCCATTAACAACTCTATGGCCAAGTGCTCTTCAGCAGAATCTGCTAGTTACTATTGGCTCGGGGAACACACAGCATGAGACTGGGCTCTGTCTTAACAAAGCCAGTGCCTCCGAGCCTCTGCTCTCAATTCCTCCCCCTATGCCTCTGAATCTGGGATCAAGCTGCAGCATGCACCCGGGTGCGCTCCTGGAAAGACAGCGATGGAGAGACTGTCTCCTTGGGGAGCCCTGCCTGCCCCCAGCACAAATAAAGCAGGGCTCCCCTGTTCTGGAATGGAGTAGCTGGGAACTACGCACACTGGCCTCTGCAGCAGCGCTTCCTCCCAGACAGCCTGACTGATTACAGGAGAGCAGCATTCCCACTCCAGCAATGAGACTCTCATGGTAAATCAACACACTCGCAAAGCCAGGGAGTTTTATTACACGATATAAATACACAGTGTGGTTTTCCTCCTCCCCAACCCCTGCTCTGCTAGATTAACTAGTGCCACAAAACACAGGGCTATAAATGCTTCTCTCTGACAGTGTATGTAAAGGAGTTGGCTTGTCCGTCGGGGCAGCTCTGAGCCAATGCAGTGTGTTATAGAGGCATGGGTGCTCGCTCTCTCACACATGGCAACTTTGCTCTTCTCGTTTGTGTTTTGTGTGGTTTCTCTGCCTCTAAAACAGGTCACTTAGCCTGAAAGCGTAACATTGTGTATGGGAATTGGACCATCTAACTGGAAGGGGTGAGGGCCTGGGGATTGATTCCCCTAAGAGATCTGACGGGTGTGTGTGGGAGTGGGGCAAAATGGAGGCCCTCTACCCTATCGCAGAGTAGGGAGATGTTTCTGCTAAAGGGACCAGCAGTGCAGTAGTCAACCATGTTGCTATTTAAAGTGATCGTTAGGTTTCAGAGTTAATGGTTGCACTAAAGAGGGCAGCTCACACCTCAGAGGTTGTCTGGCTGCACAGCATTGCACCAGGCTCCTTTGGAAGGGTTTCTGCACAGCCATAATGGCTGGGAAATTATTTGAGATTAAAATAAGCCCCAGACCTGACGAGTGATGATGAGAATGGAATGTGTCCGTGCTGTGTAGATAGTACTTGGAAACATGCACATGTGCTTCTGGATTAAGGTTTGGCATTTGAGATTGAATCGGGGCTAGCATTTAAATCCAGAAGCTTGAAATCTCACAAAGTGATCTCCTATACTTATTAAAGTGGGATGCTTTCTGCAAAGAAAATGTATCCACTTGTCCTTCCTCGCTGGAGCTGGGGGAAGCCTGCAAGGATACGCTTTGCAAACAGTAATCCTTATTTCAAACTCATAAACTCCCTTTATCTCCTTTCTGCAATCGTTTGTACCAGTACACTTGTTTGCAGCAACAGCATGTCTCCCACCTGTATCTCATTCCCAATAGGTATGGTGTCTTGTCTGTCAATTCTGCAGAGAGTCAAGATCTCTCCATTGTTTTCTCTCCCTCGCTCAGGGAATTGATGAGCTGTCAAGGTTTCTTCCTGGGGAAGGCGCTAGGACTATCTGAAGTGTTGCTGCCCCCACCTGGGGAACAGCATCAGCACAGAAAAGCATAGGGCTGTATCTGCCGCTCTCACTGGCTGTGCGTGTTGAAGGAAAGGCAGATGTGGCTTTGTCTATACCAGGGGTGGCTTTGTCTATACCAGGGGTGGCCTAACTGTGGCTTGTAAGCCTCCTCCGCCTACCAGACCGGGGGTGGGAGGGGAGGAGGAGAGATCGGAACCTCTGCCTTGCAGTGGGATGGTGGGGTAGCAGCATCTGTCCAGTGGGGAGGAAGGTCTTGGGGCTTCAGCCCTGCAGGGCGCACCTGCCGGGGCTCGAGGCTTCAGCAGGAGTGGAGCTGAAGCCCCGACTCCTGGCATGCGTGCTCCGGCACTCGAACTTCTGAAGATTGTCGTATGCTGCTCGGAGGGCCAGTGAGTTTGGCCACCCCGGTCTATACTGTGGATAATTGTACAGGTGTAGCCACACCAATGAAGCTGTTTGAAACCAGAGTGAGCCCCGTTTCACAGCGGCACAGCACGTTTACACTGGGTTTGCAGGAATGCATCAGTGAAGTAGCTACACTAGTATAAATCTCTGAGACAGAAAGGCCTAGACATGAATGTAAGCATGTCCCATGTTTGTTTGTGGCATGCACCTGTAACCTGCTCTTCAGTGAGTGATGAGTCCTTCGCTAGTGGCTGGTGCACAAAGGATAAAAGTCTAGGATATGTATTCACTAAAGGAGCTACTCCTTTAGCTCACATGCTAAAGGCTCATGGTTTTAGCACCTGAGGTCCTGGATTCGATCCCGTACAGTGACCCACAAGGGCATAGGTGCTGACTGCGTGGGTGCTCTGCCCCCCACTCAGCCTCTTCCCCCCCATTCCCCCAGAGCTCTGCCCGGAAGCCCAGCCCCTGCTCAATCTCTTCCCCCCGAGATCCCCCCACCTCTTGCATGGGGGGGAAGGGAGGGGGCAGAGAAGAGCACCCACCGGCAAAAACAAAAGTCAGTGCCTGTGCATGAGAGCAGCTGGGCTACACTCATGGGCATGTGCAGATGTTCCTTTGAAATGTCAGTTGGTGCTAGAGCTATGCAAGCAACTGAGTTTCTTCAATTCACTGGCGGCCCCAAAACATCGAGAGAAAATTTGTTTTGGGTCAAACAGAATACTTCATTCAAACCACCACACACAACGTTTCATGCAGTTTTTGAGCTTTTTTAACTTTAAAAAAACCCAAAATCAAAGTAAAATTCAAAACAAAATCGTTATGAATTGAAAAATCAAAATGTTCAGATGCCATGGGGATTTTTTTTTTTTTTTGGCTCAACAATTCAGCAAATTTGATACAAATCTGCGAAATGTTTCAGTCAACCTGAACTGGCTCTTTTTTATTTTTTTATTTTTTTGGGGGGGGGGAGCAAAAATAAAAAAGTTTAGTTCAAGAAACTTCAGCCGGCTCCAGTGTGTTCATGCCAGGAATGGGTGG